CAGCTGTTCACGGGAAGGCCTTCAAGAGGACATCTGGTCCATCCCACTACCTCAAAGCATAATAAATTCTTCCTAACCCCTTTGTTATTGTCTAGCATGGGCACAGCAAGCACTGAGTTTCCACTAATGTATCCATTTGGAGATATTTTAATGCTTCCAAGTCTAGCAAAATTCATGGAAAAAGTTGGAATTTCACCAATTCTCACCTTGGCCAAGTGTAGATGTGCTTGTTGTGAATGCTTAACTGTACCTCCTGCAATGGGAGATGCTAATCCTTTCTGAACAGCCTGCATGTGGAATTAAATAGCACAGTGGGGCAATGGTGTGCCTGGTAGCAAACTGGTGCCTACTTGCAAACAAAAGCCAAATGAAGGCAAAACAGCCCCAGTATTCTGATCTCAGTGGCTCCTTCCAGAATAGCTTATAGTTGCACATATGGAGAATGTTGATGGGCTGTATTTGTCAGCTGTCCCTTTGCTGTTTGTTATGCTGCACAACAATAAATAGCTTCAAAACTTAGTATATAATGTAGTACAACATTGGGCAAAACCAAGGCAATTCAGAATGCTCCTGTTTTGCAGGATGCTTTCAACAACAGTGAATGACATTTCTTTCCCACCAGGTACCAATATGTACAAAGTGCAAACTGGTCTGATGTTACCACTTGGACTTCCCATGTTGACAAATACAGCAATGTAAGGACTGTTTTGAGACTTTCCTGGTGCTGGTAGCATGAAAAAACTGTAAAGTGCAGTGAATTCACATCGGTTTAATTATATTGTGACAAGCTCTAGGATTTGCTGGTGGAAGCCTCCTACTGGCTTCCTAGGCTATTAAGTATTATGCCTCAGCTATTTTGATAAGTTCCTGGTAACCTGAGAATTATTGAGTAACATTTTAAAAAGTTCTGCACACTGACTACAATGAGCATGAATTAGTATGAATTAGGGTTGCTAAGGCATAAGGTATAAAACAGATTATCCTAAATTTAGTTTCAGCAGATGGCAACTAGGTTTGTGCCTTTCAAGCTAATATTACAAGCTCACATAGCCTTAAAAAGCCATCTCCAGTTGCACTCTGTGCCACAGTATTAGAAACAACTCCACATTAGTTCTGAGACAAATGAAGGATTCTGATGTGTATATGATGCGTAAGGGACATGTGAAGAATGATGGGGTAGGAGGTGCAGAGTGCTTGAGCCTGTAATACGTTCAAATCCAGCTCATGGGTTTGTGCTGTCCTGTAGGTAGAGCCAGCACTTGCTTGCCAACAAAGTTCAAAGGTAGCCCAAGTACAACTTGCTTCTGAATGTCCCCTGCTTTTTAAGGAAGAATTTGTCGGTCCAGTGTCAGTTCACAGCGATGCCTGTGATATGCAGAAGTATCCAAAATAGGTCCTGCTTTCTGCCTCATCCTTCTGTAATGCTGGTAGGTATGTCTGTTCTTTGTAAAGCCACAAGGAAATATCAGCCAGTAGCTATTGATGTACAAGTGTTTCAAGAATTGAAGAGAAAACAGGTTGAGGACAATAGTCTAGATTTGAAAATATGAATTGCTTGCTTGCAGACAAGAACAGATGTCAAGTAACAAAGCACGAGGTCTCATTTGACTTGCATGTGCCTGGATGCTGTGTCTTAATTGGTTGCTGATAAATGGGACTCCTGAGTAGAACTTTGACATTAGAGACAGGATAAATGTAGAGAGAGTCAGTTTTGGAAGATGTGGCCATTAGCTTGATCGAATTATAGTTTGAAAATGGGTTAATAAATATAGAGGAGAGGGAAGGGAGGGAAAGGGCTTCTGAATTATTCATCCTTTGTTTCTCAGTTGACAAGTTTATACAGAAATGAAAATCAAGTGGGAGTATAGAGAGTGTAATTTCACAATTATGTATGAATTGAACAGATGTTTCCATATAATATCAAGATCTGCTTTCACAACTTGGTATTACCTACAGCTGGATGAATCCAAAAAATCCAAGGCTCAAAATTCAAAATCAGTTTGAGGTTATTTTTCACTCATGGCATCAGCAGGAGGAGCCTGCATCTTTCTTGCAACGTGCTTTAATGCTTAGCTGTCTATCTGCACTGCTGTGTTACCACATGTTAGTGCAGGATGAGGGCATATTTCTTTTTCTGGTGTAGAGGAAGCATGCAACTAAGTTTCCAACTGTCGGTCTTGTCCACAACTGCAGAATGGAGGAGGTGATGAACTTAAACAGTCATGTTTCCAACTTCTGAATTGTAGTAAAGATGGGAGCAAACTATTGTTCAAGCAAAACTTACAAAGACTGCTGGGGCTCTTCTTACAGAGCTGCTTTCCTGAGGCCAGCAAGTAATTTGAAATCCATTGGCACTACCTGAACCTATTTCTGCATATGAACTTGCCTCTGAGATCTGTACCTTGAGAGCATTCTGCTAGTAGTACAGAGCAATCAATGACTCACAACTGATTGTAATGTCTCTTTAATTTTGTTTTTTTTTTTTAAATCAACTTTTTTTTGTAGTAAATAAATGAGAAGGAAACAAACTGATAGAAGGAGGTGGTGTGGATGTGATGCTTTCAGATCCAGCAGATCCATGCGGATGTTACAGTTAGCATTCCTAGTAGCTGACTCATGTCTCCTCAGCAAACCCAGGTCAAAACACCTCAACAGTCTTTTCTTACAGGCATCATGTCTTGAATTTTACAAATGAAAATGAAATGGGGAGAAAAAGCATACTTTTATTTTAAATAGGAAATGCAAGCTTTAAAATTTGCTGGCATTGTATGAATGATGCACTCAGTGTCTCTGAGAATGTAGATGATTCAGTGGACTGATACTTCGTTTGAAAGGAAGGAAATTTAAAGGAAGACTTAGTGGTTTTTTTTGTAGTAGAAAATATGGCTTTTAGTACTGTTATGCAAATGCACAGTTTCACTAAGATATGATGTAATGATGTATAAACTATACACTGAATAACTTTTAAAGGGTTACAAGGCTCTTCTGAATTAACAAGGCAAAAAAACCCAGTCCTGACTCATTTCTTGTGGCTTTTCAGTTGTGATCAGAGCCCCGAGGAAGCTCAGATTCTGATACTGTCACTTTTCATTAGTAGGCTTAATATTTTTTTGCTAATATTTGAAATATTTCCTACTGCTTTTCATAAAGAAAGCTTTTCCACAGATAGTGTGCTGTAAGGTTAATGTTTCAGTTGCTGATTTGGTACGATAGTTTATTTGAATCGTAAATGAATTACAAGTTTGAAATGGAGCATCAAGTAAACTGAGAAGTCATACAAAGCAAGCTGGATGCTGATGGGCTAGACTGCACCCTGATAGCTGAATGGATGATGTGTACCAAGCCAACTTAATCTGCATAGGTTTTCATTACACTTAAGTGTCATTGACTAATGTAGCAGCCACATGTCTTAGCTGGGTTAATGCTCAAGTTGTCATCACATAGAATTTGGACTCTCTTGCAGTGCTGAAAGTAGCACTCCTGGAGGACCCAACCATCCTGCCTGCTGATCTGTGTTGTGCTCATGGCAGAAAGCTTGAGGACATCTAGCTTTTTACCTTCTTTTCCAGGTAGATGTATATGGCTGCTGTATTCCTCTTACACGGTCAACATGCTATTTTACAGACTAAATGTTAGATTAGGTTAATGTTATGTAAATGGTGCTATTCAATATGAGAAAGCAGGGTTTTTAAATAGCTTTGTGCCAAATACATCAGTGGACCAACCATACTCAGTATGGATGTAATTTGTTATTCTATTCTCCCCCACAGAATTGGCTAAAAAAACAATTTCTCATAAAAACAGCTCACCCATACACAGGCCTATAAGTGTAAGTAAAGAATCTGTGAACATGAAGCATCTGAGAAACAATTTATTGTTTCTGGCACTGACTGTGGAGGGAGTGTCATCTCTATTTGTAGTGATGTTTTTATGTGGGGGGTATGCACTTTTCAGGCCCTTAGAGGACAAAGTGAATTGACAATAAGTGTATACAGAAAACAGTGAAAAGTACCAGAGGAGTTTATTACCATGTTAGAGATGTTCTGTAATAGAGAAGATAAGCTGGGTGAAATCCATGCTCTTCAGAGGTGTAGCAGAATATTGTTCAAAGTTTACCTCTAAGATGCAGTGAAACTGATATGCCTTATTTTATTCCATTTTTCACATTTACACAGATAAACTTATTTCTGTATCTTTCATAGGTGAGAGGATTGGGGTCAGGTTGCTGCTTCATAAATTTAAGCATTTCTTCTCATTCTTTTAACTGATTCATGAGGATATTTGAATCCAGTCCTGTCTTTTAGTGCTCAGTCTGTTTTGCTTTCTATCTGCATGTTCCCTACTAGACTATATCCAAAGCTGTTCACTCTTCATTATTGCAGTGCCAGATTTTGGCATTTCTTTAGCTTTCTCTACTTTGGTAGAGAAAAAGGAGAAAAAAAACTAGAAAAGCTTGGAAAGAAGTAATCTGTCTTTCTCTAAAGAAAACCCAACATGAATGAGATTGAAAATTATTCTGAATTTGTCTGTTAGGAAAACAATATCCATCTGATTCCCAAATGTTACAATCCATTTTAGTTACCAAGTGATACTGGGAAGGCTGGAAGATATGACTGCATCTGTAATCTGCTCAGTCAATTTAGAGAGCAACAAAGAAGTAGAGCGTCTTAACATTTTCTCTCCTGCTGCTCATTTCCTGCTGTTTTGTTTTTATTTTATACATTTTTTTTTCTTTTAAGTGCTCTTTCTGATATCTGTATGGGGAACAGTTCAATGTGAGAAACCAATAGTTCCAGCAGGTGATGAAACATTTGTTTACTACTGAAACTCTGCTGTACAAATATGCCATTCAAGTAGGAAAGATGTTTAATGTTATCTTTCTTAAATAGGAGAAATGTCTGAGAATTTCCAGACCACCAGTTATTTCTGTATGTATTTCTGTGTAGTTCTGTATGTGCCCTGTAGGCTTTTTGCATTTAGTCTAATAACTTTGAATAGTCTCTTCTCAGGTGAGGAATTTAAAGGCAGAGCAATAGGACAGCAAATACAGACTCCAGTACGTGTTCTGATATGCACCTCTTTGTTTTATCTTTCCTGGTTACACTTCTCATCATATTCTGAAAGGGTTTTTAGAGGATTACGAGTCTGATAGCAGTGATTTTCATAATGTAAGTTTTATTGAGGGTCTTGTACACGTTGCCTGGTGAACAGCCAGTGGGTCCCAGCCAGTGTCTGAGTTCATGACACCAGGTCTTTTGTGCTGCTGTTGATGGTTATGCAGTAAGTTACAGGGCTCATACAGGTGGGCAGAAGTTCCTTCCACCACATCTTTTCATGGGGGTCTCTAAGTGGTAGGAATCCTGAAGTGCATTTCCACATCTGTGAACTGCTGGACATTCTCAGTGCTCTCTGGAGGTGTGGTGACTGGGGAAACAACATGCTTCAGGCGCAAAAGCAAGGTGAAAAGCAATATGAGAAGGATAGCCAGAACTGTTAAGAACAATCCCACATACACATAGAGACCAGAATATTTATCTGCTGCTTTGTCTACTTCTGTAGCCATAGTTGGATAGTGAATGCGTCCAGTCAAGTTTCCATGGAATTTGAAATAAATCTCAGTCATTGCTGTCAACTTTGCTACATTTTTTTCTATTTACTTTCAACTTCAATGTCTTACCTGACTGGTCTCAAAAAGTAGGTCAAAAGAAGACAGGTGGTGATATGACTTCTGTGTAAAATTCAGGAGGAAATGCTATCCTCTTGTCCTCGATCTGTTTCACAGAGTTAGCAGACTGCAAATAATAAGCCTTTGTAAACCATAGTTGCTATCATAATGATAACAAGCACTAGACTTGTATTTTACATGGCCACCAATCTTCTATTTTGTTCTCAAAATTCTTGGCTGCTGCTTCTAGTAGGCCACCTCCTTCAGAAGGTGAGATGCTTTGGTTCTCCTTCCAAATTGATCTGCAAGGGGTTGTATAATTTCGGTCTTTGCAAGTGCTGCTTTCCAGAAAGAGCAAGTTTTCTGCTGGCTTTTCCAACAGCAGGTGGTTTATCCCTGCATGAGATGGGGAATGTTGGTGTCTGCTGGGAAGTTTCTGTGTTAATCCAGGGTTACTGATGCTTGCTTGGAATATAGAATTTCCAGTTTCTTGTAACGCATTGTCAAAAGTTGTCTGTCTAGAGGGAAATATGAGAGAAATGAAACCAAGTTTAAAAATAGCCTAATCTGTATGTGATAGCTTTAGGTAAGAAATGAGTTTAATCCCTTGTTGTGCTCCTGTGAGCCACTTTGGCTCAGTGCTGCTTCGGATCTATTTAACTGGAGACTTGGGCAGAGAGGAACTTTATGAGGTTCAACAAGGGCAAGTGCAGAGTTCTACAACCATGGAGTAATAACTGCATGTGCCAGTACAGGTTAAGGGCTGACCTGTTGGGAAGGTGATCTGTGGAGGACTGGGGTGTGCTGGTGGACAACAGGGTGGCCAAGGGCCAGCAGTGTGTCCTGGTGACCAAGAAGGCCAATGGGTACATCAAGAAAAGTGGCCAGCAGGTCAAGGGAGGTGATCCTTCCTTGGAGGTGAGGTCACATCTGGAGCCCAGTTCTGGGCTCACCAAACCAAGAACATTTTCTGCAGGTAACTTTTAAAGAGAGTTCAGTGGGCAGCCACAATGATCATCGGGGCCTGAAGCATCTTCCAACTGAGGAAAGGCTGAAAGTTTTGTGGCTGTTCAGCCTGGAAAAGACTGCGTAGAAACCTTGTAAATATCTAATGGGCAGGAATCAAGTACATGGTGCCAGGCTCTTCTCAGTGATGCCCAGTGACAGAACAAGGGGTAATGGGAACAAAGGGGAGCATGGGAAATTACATACAAACATGAGGAAAAACTTCTTTACTTTGAGGATTACAAAGCACTGGAACAACCTGCCCAGAGAGGCTGTGGAGCCTCCTTCTCTGAAGATGTTTAAAACTTGCCTGGATGCCTTCCTGTGTAACCTACTCTAGGGAATCTGCTTTAATGGGGGGTTGGATGATCTCCAGAGGTCTCTTCTGACCCCTATAATTACATGATTCTATGAAGTTTAGAGGAAGACCATGTGAGTCTAAATATTAGTCTCCTCTGGTTCTTACTTTAAAGGTAAGAGGAGGCTTCACAGTCTATGGAATTAGGTATCTTAGAAGAAGGGAACAAGAATCCAGCCAGTGCCCTACATGTGTTTTAATTTGTTAGGACCCCTTGTTTCTCTTGCTGGGCATGCTTATATGTCCAGTATCCACTAGGTATGGTTGAAAAAAATTCCCCTGGAACTCTCTTGGGCGTGTAACAACTGGGTTGTCAGGGTACCTATAAACAGCAACACCTGTTTTTGCTGGAATAACTGAAGTAAAGCATTTGCATTGTATTTTTGTAGCAAGTCTTGCAAACCAAGGTGAACTAATTTTTTATGTACAGATCATAAATCTCCCCAGACAACAATGTTTACAGTATACACAAATCCTCACAAACAAATGCAGGTAATACTACTGTTTTTTTTTTTTTAAAAAAAAAGGGTACTAGAAAGAAATTTCCAGCCCGTCCAAGGCTGGAGTATGTATAGAAATGTTTGTTTTTCAGAATATGCAGTTTGCTGCTGAACAGCTTGGGAGAACTTAAGATTTGAAAGCTTCAGTTAGGATGTAGTGGGGGTTGATCTGGGGTTTCCCTCCCATACATACTCCATTTTATGAGTTCTCTGAGCAACTGACTTCAGGAGAAAAAGCAAACATTTGATAGAGCTGTGGCTGCATTATTAAAGGAACAAATTAAGAAAGACTTCAGACTGTGGTGATTCATAATTACAAGTGACTTTGGGTTCTTTAGAATAAAATACTTGAGGTATATTAGATGCTCTCAGCTCTAGAAGAGAGTATTCCTATACCTTCAAGATTTTTGACTTCTTTGATTTACAACCTCCAAAATAAAGTACCCAGTTCCCTGTGATTTGCAGATGTTAGTATGTGTAAGCCTTCCATTGTGCTGCTAAGTTGTAAACACAAAAGTTGTCTATAAAAATGCCATTAGTTAGTAATACGGTGCTGATGTGCTATTAAGGACTTGGTGACTATTTTAATATCTTTCTCTGACTGGAGGAGACATGCGACAGGATCCTAATGTAAGAAACAGAAGATGGGGGCAGTTGGTCACAGAAGTGGATTCACAGCTTAGATGGAGAGAGAGAGGTAGGGTGAAGTGTACTTTTTGGGTGCACATGCCCTGAGCAGGAATGTTTCACATGTCTAGAGGTCCCAGAGGATATGTCTGTGCTGAACCCTGAGGATGAGCTTGAACAGAAGCATACATTCTGGACTCCTGCAGCCCTTTTGCTTCTTGGTGATATGGGTACAGCAAGCAGCCTCCCACAACCCTTGTGAGTGCTGTATTACTCTGCCCCCCAGTGTACCAGTGACAGAGCAAGCAACTCTTAAGTATGCTTAAACATCCAGAGATGCAAGCTTGTGGACTAATCTTGTTGTCTGGTCTTAGGGCAGCCTTGGGGCACCCTTCAAGGTCTCTAGCAGTGAGCAAAAATTGCAGCGTTGTTATATAGTCTGTGGCAGTGACTTGAGCAGGTTTGGAGCTGAGGCAGGAGCAGGGGATGTGAAGGCTGTGTTATAACCAAGCACTTAGCCAATTATAGGGCAATGTATCTTAACTCTGTTCTTCAGACATAAGTGACAAGTATTCCCCCATGAGGAATATTCTCATGACATAAAGCAAGTGGAAATTAATATGGCCAGTAACCTTCGTGTCATTTTAAACCTTTGTATTTAAAGTAAGATTTCCTTGTTGATAATGAAATGTAGTTGATCTGGAATCTGACACATGCATGCATTAAAGCACAGAGCAATGCCCATCTCATCTGCTATCTCACTAAGAGCAAAAGTCAGAGCTGGTTTCTCTACTTAAGCCATTAGGATCTTTCCTCCTTTATAAAATTAGAATGCAGAATGCTAAGGACATTAATCTTAAGTTCAATAATTAACTATAAGCCAAGACCTTGAATTGAGAAAGCTCTGCTAATTAATAAAAGGAGCAGATTAATAATAGAAATATTAGCAGTAGAGGCTTGGCACAGCTTTCATTTTTTTGTAGTCTCAACTATAGAACTGTCAGGGGCAACCAACTACTCAGGCTGTTGAAAGCTGTGAACTTAACTATATCTTTTTTTTTTCCCAGAAATAATTCAGTAGCCCCAGCCAGCACTAAAGATTGCTGCTGTTCAATTTGCCAGTGATCTCAGTGAATGTATCTTTTTGGATGTTAGTAAATTCAGCTTGAACTCTCTCATTTAAGGAATGCAAACTTGAAAACTGTGGAGATCAAGGTAATGTGAAAGTAAATGGGTACACAGAGGTTCTACAAAACCTGTGCATAAAGCAGATTAGTATTTATAACTTTGTGTAACTCATAGTACTACAGACAAAACCTCCCTGGCTACCCTTTGAAGACCAGCAGTACGAGGACAAATTAAGTAGAGATTTATTAGAGAGCAGAGCAGCGTAAGTGGTGCCAAACTTCACTGTGATCTATGTTCTTCATCAGGGCTTTGTTGCTCTGCTCTGACTGGACAATGTATCAGTTTCTAAGGAGTGTCAAGCACCGTTAATGCTCAGTAATGCTCAGTGGATACAGGCTGATTCCAAACAGACACTTTCTTTTCAGCACTTTGTGCTCGTTTTATGCAAGGATTAATAACAAAAACAAAACATTTCATTTAGTAACAGAAAACAACAACAGCAAAACAACGGTAATGAAAATAGATGCCCTGAACAAAACACCAATAAAATTTCTTCTTGGAGTATGTCTTAACAAGAGAGCAAATCTGAGCCAAAACTTCATGAGTGCTGCAATTACCACCCTCCTTCTGCAGCTTCAGGAACTATCAAGATTTTCCCCATTCTTAGGAAGCCTGCATGGCCCCTTCGCACCTTTGTAGGTCACAGAGAAGCAGAAAAAAAAAGATTCCTCCCTCCCCCCTCAACAATGCAGACAGACAACAGAAATTTGTTTTGCAACTCATGTCTTATCTCACTTATTTCCTTTTACTCCCAGATTGCTTTAAGTGTCACCTGCTAGTAAGGCATCTCTGAAAGTGAGGGCAACTTTAGAGTTCTGCTTTTCCAGCCAATACTAACATTACTGCAATGAGTGAAGTGGGACGGAAGAGAACGGTTATTCCAAAGTAGTTTAAGGTGCTCTGAGCTGTCTGACAAGCACAGAAACATTTCTTTTAGAGTACAGACACTACCAGGTGTATTCTGTCTAGGTGACTTTTAGAGATAAGACAGTGTTGAAGAAATGCAAACAAGGCATTTAAGTATCAGTTCCATCCATGGCTTGCATTTTCTTCACGGAGTATCTGAAAGGAAAGGGGGGAGTGTCTTTTATTTCAGTGGTGGTGTTTTTTGTTCTTATGCTGAAGTGCAAGATAGTATGGTAGAGTCTCAGCTGTGACAGTGCATAGGGAGAGAACAGAATAAAGCATAGTTACCTTTCAGAAGCAGGAGTTTTGGGATTAGGCACTAGAGCCGCTGGTTCGGACCATGAGCTTGCTGGTGATGTATCAAGGCATATCTC